AAAAAAAAAAAAAAAGAAGGGAGATGGGGCTGGAGGGTGGCCAGAGCAGATCTATTCCTTGGGGACCTGAAGATGAGCAGCAGGGGTGGGAGGTGAAGACACAGCCCTGGCAGCTCAGAGGAAGGTGAGAGACAGAGGATGGATCAACTGGGAGAGCAGGCTGTCTCCACAGCTGCTTCCAACTTTCATTAGTAAAAAGGGAAAAATGCTTTATGGCTTTATTTTCCTTATCGTTTTGTAAGTGTTGTGCTTTAACAATAACAGCCTGAGCAGCATTTGGGGGATGCTAGGATATCACCTAGATAGAGAACAGACAGAACAAAACTTGAAAATGGACTCTGGGTAAGCCCAGACTAAGAGACACTCCTTCTAAACCTCTTTGTTGCTCTTATTTGCCCAAAACAGTCTTATTGGTACTGACTTCCACCTGACCAGTCTGTTACTTCCCCTCAGATGTGGGATCAGGTCAGAAATAAAGATTGTCCTTACCTGAGGGACCACTAAATCCACACCACAGGGTGGTGAATCAGTGGAAATCTGCAGAGGAAACTGTTCAGGCAAGAGGGGCAGTTGTCAGACCCAGGCAGTCACTCATGTGAACCCTTCCAAAAGTAACCCAAGTGTCCAGATTGTAAAACACAGTTCATAAGCATGCTACCTGACACTTAAACCCTTCCAGGTGCTGCTGGTAAAAGGCCAGCTCCTCCTAATTTCTTGCCAAGGCCTTCATTTTAAGACAAAAATGACTGCATCAACTGGCTCCAAATGTATCTTTTTGGTAGTCATACTAATGGGGTTATTTCAAAGAGGATCCCCTATACAATTGATTTAACTGCAAGTATTCTGACTTTACTCCTTCCTCTATTCTGCTTCATGATGGTTGTTTCTAGTGTTAGGCTTAAACAACATGTTAATTTGACCTAGGTACTTTAGCTACTTGTTCCTTTCTCCTCTGCTAGCTTAGCTCTGGCCAGGAAACCTACAAGGCCCAATTGGCCAACACTCAAATTCCTTCAAGACTGAGGAATGTTCATGTATAAGGGGATAATTTGCATGTGTATGTGTGTGTGTGTGCGTGCATGCGTACCAATATTGGGGCTTGAACTCAGGGCTTTCAGCTTTCCCTTAGCTTTTTTGCTCAAGGTTGGTGCTCTGCCACTTGAGCCACAGTTCCACTTCCAGCTTTCTGCTGATTAACTGGAAATAAGAGTTTCATGGCTGACTTTCATGACCAAGTTGGCTTCAAACCATGATCCTCAGCTCTCAGCCTCCTGAGTAGCTAGCAAGGCAGGTGTGAGACACCAGTACCTTGCACGAGGGAGTGTGTGTGTGTGTACGTTTAATAGCTTCCTAAACTGACTCCTTACTTGGTGTTGATGAATTAGCTAAGAGCCAGAGAAAAGCTTGGCATCTCTGCCTTCATTTTTTTTGCTCTGAGCAATCTTTTTTTTTTTTTTTTTGGTTGTGGGGCTTGAATTCTGGGCTTGGACACTGTCCCTGTGCTCTTCAGCTCAAGGTGAGCACTCTACTGCTTGAGCTACAATGCCACTTCTAGTTTTCTAGTGGTTTATTGGAGATAAGAGTCTCACAGACTTTCCTGCCCGGGCTGGCTTTGAACCGTGATCCTCAGATCTCAGCCTCCTGAGTAGCTAGGATTACAGGTTTGAGTCACTGGTGTTCGTAGTTACTCTACAGCCACTGTGGAGTGCAGGAAGAACAGGACTCATTGATAAATTGAGGAATGGGGAAAAGTTCCCCAAAGAAAGAAGCTGGTGCTACAAATCAGGCAAAGATGATTCACCCATCTTCACAAACATAATCACTTCTCGGAAACCTCTCCCAGACTAAGATAACGATCCACAGGAAAGAGGACTGGTTAACTATGCATACCTTTCACTCCCTGACCAATTCCCTATCTATTTAGACCTAAAGCTCATACCAGAAGATGACTGAAAATAGGTTAAAGTGCTTACTTTGCCTCTTATGTTATACTTATCTGTGCCACATAATGAATCTTCTCTTACTGCCCCTGAATGTTTCTGAATGCTGACCAATCTTGGTATGTCCGTGCATGAAAACACTAGGCAGCTATTAAGAAGATTGAAGATCTGCAGATCATAGTGGTGCATACTTATAATCCCAGTTCATGGTCAGAGCCTGGCTGGGCGAAAGCTCAAGACCCTATCTGAAAAACAAACTAAAGGCAAAAGACCTTGGGGCACGGCTCAAGCGGGAGAGCACTTGCCTAGAAAGCATGATGCCTTGAGTTCAATCCAAAAGACTGAAGATCTGCATATCCTAACACAAAAGATGTCTGCTCCAGAAAAGGAGAATAGAAAGCAAGCGCCAGTGTAGGAGTGTTAGAAATGTGGACTGTGGATGCAAATGGAAGCTCCTACACCCATACAACATTTATAATCCTCCTGAGCTTCAGTTTCATTTTCCTACTCAATATTTATAATCTTCCTGAGCTTCAGTTTCATTTTCCTACTCAATATTTATAATCTTCCTGAGCTTTAGTTTCATTTTACTAATAGGAATAATGGTATCTTAATGGTGTTATTATGGTCCTTGACCATAAGGCACAGAAACACTAAGCTTCTGGAATATTCTAGATCTTCAATAAATAGCAGGATTATGACAATACTAACAGGGTGGTGATGACATTACAGTAAGAGCTGTTGGTGATCTGTGTGTGTGTATGTGTGTGTGTGTGTGTGTGTGTGCGTGCCTGTGTGTGTGCGTGTGTGTGGTATTGAGGATAGATGGAGTGCTTGCTAGGTGGACACTCTTTCCCTGAGCTCTACTCCCAAGTTCCATGGTGATCCTTTTTAAGTAATTTTTTTTAAGCATGGGAGACCCTTTTCCATCCCCTCCCCACTACCTTCCTTCCTTCCTTCCCTCCTTTCTTCCTTCCTTCCTTCCTTCCCTTCCCTTCCCTTCCTCTTCCTTTCTCTCTCCCTGCCACTTTTATGCTGGGAGAGATAAAAAGATGGAGCCACTTTGCTCAGAAGATAAGCTGTGATGGTTCGGTGTGGCTTTGCCTGGGATGGCAGCTATGCTAATCCCTATGACAGTCTGACAGGGTCATGCTGAGATGGGACTGTTAGTCACACCTCCATTTAGAAGCGGGATAGTGCTTTCTTCCTCTAGACAATAACAGCTCTCATTCCTTCCCTGGCCTCAGAGATTACACCCCTTTAAAAATAACACATTTCAAATGTTAGGGACATATCTATTTCCTTTGAATGGAGTTGCAGCAGAAGCAATGAGCTGAAATCAGGGGTGGAGAGTACCTGAATGCTTGTTATTAAGAAGACCAAGATAGCTGCAGAGAAGTCTGCCATTAAGACAAAGGACAGGGACAAGGACTCTCTGGGTGTAGTGGAAAGAGAAATGCTCAGAACCAGGCATGCACCTGAAACCTTGGCACTTTGAACCAAATGGAGGTGCCACCTCTGACCACCTTTCTTTCCATCCAAACAAAGCTCTCTGCTTTTCCTGCCAATTCGTTGTGGACACAATCATTACAGCACTGTTGCACTGTCATTTAATTATTAGCCAACCACGTATCTTCTTGCCTTTCTATCCAATCAGAGACCTCAGGTGTTACTTTTCCTCCCTACTTATAGACTGGGGTCACAAGGGCCCCTTGCCCTGACAGGGACCAAGTCAGATAACAGACAGGAAGAGCATATAGCCTAGTATTAGAGGCTATTATTCTTAATTGCTATTTTTAAACACTGACTTTGTATCAGGTGTTATTAGCCTCTTCACTCACAGAGCTGATAACCCCACGCGACAGGACTCATTGTCCCACTTGATATGAGGGGCCGGAGGCAGTGACAATAAATTGCTTGTCCAAGTCACACAGCTGTTAAGTGGAAGGGTCAGGATTTGAACCCAGGTATGTCTCTGCTGAAGCCTGGGGACAGGCTCTCCCCTGTGCTTCTCTCCACACTGACCCTGCTGGGTATTCCTGGCCCTTCCTTACAGCTGGCCATGAATCACTCTAGATAAATGTGGCCCTTATACAGGGTGCCTTTCTTAGCAGCACTGGCGGGGGGCGAGGGCCCCCCCCATCTCAATGGCCCATGGGAGGTTCTGGTGATATTCATAGATGCTGCCAACATCCTGGCCCCACTAAGGCTGCCTGGGTAAGAATGTGGTATAATTACATAGCACCTTATGGCCCACTAACATCCAGCGACCTCTGCAGCCCCATCAAAAGGAACAGATACAGGAACCTATGCCAGCACTGCCACTCCAACGGTGTATGTAGCTCCATGGCAGGAGCCAGAGGACCAGGTAGCCTTGGACCTAGTCAAGGCCATGTCCACAGCTCGCTGAACCACCACAGCTAACTAAGTAGAGTCTTTCTTTAATGAAATCTTACAGGAAAACTCAATATAGAAAGTTAGTAAGAGCAGCAGGGCATGATAGAACATGCCTATAATATTACCTATTTGTTTGAAGGGGAGCAAGGGGGTTTGCAGTCCAAGGCTAGCAAGCCAGTAATAAAGCAAGCTAGTAAAAGCAGACCTACTTCGGGAAGGTCTACAAGGTAGAGATTAATATTTCTATTTGTAGACAAGGCTCTTAAAGGCCAAGGGCTTAGACATGGTATCTCAGAAAGAAGCATCACAAAGTCCCATAGCAAATCATAAAGATAAGGATTGCTGGGCTGGGAAGGTGGTAGAGTGCTTGCCTTGCACGCATGAGGCCCTAGGTTCAGTTCCTCAGCACCACATAAGCACTGTGGCTCAAGTGATAGAGTGCTAGCCTTGAGCTGAAGAGCTGAGGGACAGTGCACAGGCCCACGACTGACACCCCCCCCTCAAAAAAAAGGTTTGCCCGCATCTCTACCACCTGTGCCTAGGCCTCCTGAGAGAGCAGATGGCCATAGCCCATCACAGGCAGGAATGCCAATCAATACCCATGTCCTCTATCACAGGATCCACAGCCACAGCTAGAGCTGGAGACTCCAGGACTTAGTCTTGGACTCTCCATTCTCTTGCCTTAAACTCAGCTAAGATTATAGGCATGCACTACCATGCCTTCGCAATGCATCAGAAAAACAAAATGAAAACGGCAGATTACAAAACAGTTTGATTATTGTGACATCAGTTTTATGATTTTAGTTTGTTGTATGTAGATAAGTAAATGGAAATATGTATCTTAGGTTTAGAAATTAAGAATTTTGCTCCTTTTTTTTTTGTCAGTCTTGGGGCTTGAACTCTGGGCCTGGGCACTGTCCCTGAGCTCTTCAGCTCAAGGCTAGCGCTCTACCACTTGAGCCACAGCGCCACTTCCGGTTTTCAGGTGGTTTATTGGAGATGAGTCTCATGGCCTTTCCTGCCTGGGCTGGCTTTGAACCTGGATCCTCAAATCTCAGCCTCCTGAGTAGTTAGGATTACAGACTTGAGCCACCAACGCCTGGCTCCCTTTTTTTTTTTTTGTAGTTTCTCTTCACTTTGCCTTGTTTCCTAAACACCTGGTTAAAACATTTCAAGTAAAGCTGGGAAGGTGGCTCAGTGGTAGAGTGCTTGCCTTGCATGTCTTAGGGCCTGGGTTCGATTCCTCAGCACCACATAAGCAAAAAGAAAAAAGCTAAAGAGCTGAGGGACAGCACCCAGGCCAAGAGTTCAGGCTCTATGACTGGACCCCCCCAAAAAAACAAAACAAACAAAAAAAAGCATTTCAAGTAAAAACATACTAGATGCATTCTACATGATCCTAATCTTCCCCTAAGATGATTAAACATTTCTTTGGAGGGAGGGACAGGGTCTCACTGTGCTGCCCCGCTGGCCTCAAACTTCTGGCCTCAAGCACTCCTTCCTCCTCAGCCTCCAGCAGCTGGTACTATAGATATATACCTCCATGTCCAGTAAATTTTTCTCTTTTGTTTCTCCATGTTTTCTAAGTATACTGCTTTGGCAAGTACAAAAGAAAGCAAAATTTTACAAAGAATAATAATTAGTATAGCTGGGTGCCATTGGCTCATGCCTATAATTCTAGCTACTCAGGAGGCTGAGATCTGAGGATCACTGTTTGAAGCCAGGGCAGAAAAGTCCATGAGACTTTTATCTTCAGAAGTGGTGATGTGGCTCAAACAGTAGAGAGCTATTCATGTGTCCCAAGAGGCTCAGGGACAGGACCCAGGCCCTAAGTTCTAGCCCCAGGACTGGCAAGATATTGACAGGGTGGGGGTCATTACTAGGATTTGAACGCAGGACCTCACACTTTGTGAGGCAGGTACTCTACCACATGAGCTACATCCTAGCCCTTGCAAAGAAGGATTAAAAAAACACTGAAATCGGGGCCTGGTAAGGCTCTGAACAGAGACCAAGGAGTCCCTGCTTGGAACTCTTTGGGTCAGGGCAGCTGGTAGGATGTGGGAGAGATATTAATCAGTAGCCAAGGTGGAACAAAGGCCTCTCTGGACAAACATGCTTGGAAAAGTTCAAACCCTAATGTCCCCATGCATCGCAGACAATGTGCCGGGAACACTGAGCATGGGGAAGTGAGCAGTGCATTCTTTAAGGAAAAAAGAAAGATTAAGGCCAAGTCACTCATTTCTTCTAGGGCTCTAGCAGGTTGGTGTCCCAAGTGAGGAACTCGGCCTCAATCAATCAGAAGACAACAGTGCAGGATGAACAGAGAACAAGGTTCCCCAGGCCTGGATTCAATTTTGGGAGTGCTCCTGAAGTAGGATACTTTCCTTTCTTCTCTCTTTTTTTCTGTCAGTCATAAGGCTTGAGCTCTGGGCCTGGGGCTGTCCCTGAGCTCTTTAGCTCAAGGTGAATGCTCTACCACTTGAGCCACAGCACCACTTCTGGTTTTCTGGTGGTTAAATAAAGAGCCTCACAGACTTTCCTGAATGGGCTGGCTTTGAACCTGGATCCTCAGACTCAGCCTCCTGAGTAGCTAGGATTACAGGCAAAAGCCATCAGCGCCTGACACCTTTCCTCTCTTATGTCCAACTAAAAGTTTATAGACACTAATGGTGCAAGGAAGGAGACCAGGCGCATGGGGCCTGCTCTCCGGCCGCCCAGCCAGGTGGCCCTGGACAGGTGACTGAACCTCTCTGAACGCCCAATGCTTCCTATGTCACCAGTTCACTGTCACGGGGCTGTGTGATCATGAGATTCAATGGTGGCTTATGGAAGGGTTCTGTAAATAGAAGCTCCTTTCTGCGTGCACACATGGCCACCCCAAGCTGGTGCCACTGAGGGCAGAACCCAAAGTCCCTTCCCAGAGAAGGTATCTCTCCTTGGGTGGTTATCATGACTCTGCCAGGCAGGGGGTTAATTAAGCTCCTTGGTAAGTCCCTCTGGGGGGCACACGCAGGAGCACTACCTGCTCTTCTATGTGGCCCGGAGTTGCTATGCAGGCGCCAAACCACCCAACCCAGGCACTTACACTTTGGCCTCGTAGTCCTTCCATGCCTTCTCCAGTTGCTTTTTGGAGTCCTGTAGTTGGAAAAAAAAAAACAAAAACAAAAAGAGCAATTTGAGCCAGGCACAGGTGGTTCATGCCTGTAATCCTACTCAGAAGACGGAGAGCTGAGAATTGTGATTCAAAGCCAGCCCAGGCAGGAGAGTCCGAGAGCCTCTCATCTCCAATTAGCTACCAAAACGATGGAAGTAGATCTGTGGCTCCAGTGGAGAGCATCAGCAAAAGTTAATGGACAGCTCCCTGGCCCTGAGTTCAAGCCCCATTACCAGCACACACCCACCAGAAAAGAGCCATTTGCCCACAGGGAAGCTTGACTCTGCATAAACAGGACACTGCATTCCTCTTTGCTGCTCAGAGCTGTTCTTCAACCAGCCCTGGCCCCCACCCGACTGCCAACGCTCCTCTCCAAACAGAGCAACAGACCCCACTTCTCACTGCTCAGCCCCTCTCCTCCCCAACTTCTCCCCAGAGCTGTTAAGCATTTAGCTAGGTGTGGTGGATAGAGCCTGGGAAGGGGGTGGGGCTTTGGCTTCTGCATTGGGTCTCATTGGCCGGAAGATGGAAATAGGCCATAAGGATAAAGATAGTAAAGGTCAAGTTAGATCCCTAATGTTACCCCATCCATTTCTTCTGCCTAGTATAACATCAACTTTGTTTTTTTGTCAGTCACGGGTCTTGAACTCGGCCTGGGTGCTGGCCCTGAGATCATTTTTTTTTTGGGGGGGGGGTTCGGTCGTGGGCCTGAACTCTGGGCCTGGGCGCTGTCCCTCAGCTCTTCAGCTCAAGGCTAGCACTCTACCACTTGAGCCACAGTTTTCCTTTTTGCTTATGTGGTGCTGGGGAATCGAACCCAGGGCCTCATGCATGCAAGGCAAGCGCTCTACCACTGAGCCACCTTCCCAGCCCCCTGAGATCATTTTTGCTCAAGGCTAGCGCTCTACCACTTTGAGCCATAGCTCCACTTTTGGTTTTTGAGATAAGCATCTCATAGGAACTTTTCTGCCTGGGCTGACCTCAAACCAAGATCTTCAGATCTCAGACTCCTGAGTAAGCTAGGATTACAGATGTGAGCCACTGGTGCCCAACTATGACATCAACTCTTTTCAGTAAGGGTACATTCACAGAGGAGTTGAGAAATCTCCCCAAGGTCACACAGCAAGTCAGTAAGACCTGGGCTATTGCTAGCTCACTGAACAGCTAGGTTTCTGCAAAGCAAAAGCTGCCTATCAGGTTTGGGTGGTTCCCAGGCTGGTGCTCAGCCAGGGTGGGGAGGGAACCCTCAGGGGGAGGGCAGGTCCTCCCCTGGGCTTTCTGGGGCACCCTGCCAGGGAGGTTCCCCTGCCACCTCCCTCTAGCCCTACTCTGCCAGGCACAGGAAGAACAGCCCTAGCAGAGGATCCGGGAACTGCAGGTCCCGGCTCCAGTCCTGCCACATTCTAGCAGCTCAT